CTTTACAGATGCTGCCAGACCTGCTGAGCTTTTCCAGCAACTTTGTTTTTGTTCCTGATTTACAGCATCCGCAGTTCTTTCGGTTTTTACTTTATCATTTAACGAGGGTTTCTGTTTCTTGCACCCTTTTAGGCAGCGAATTCTAGATCTCTCCCACCCCACCGAATACTGTGGGCAAAAAAAACACTGAACCTCAAAGTCCATCTGCAGCCTCCAAACTCTTTACATTAAATCTACACCCCAAACCCCGTTTAAACCTCAACTGGGTCCTTCCCACCCATTTGATCCAGATCCCTCAACCTTATACCTTTAAGATTGGCCTCCCCTGTTCCCATGGCCTAAAAGCAGCCAGGAGCTACTGAAATCCTCTAATGTTGGCAATATCCCCGTAAATCTCCTCTGCACTCTCCCTAGTGTGACCACAACAGTGGCTAGAACTGTCGACTGGTTTCCAGCTGTAGTCTGGGCTTCATACAGTTCCTATCCCCACTTACATCCCATTACCTCACTCATAGAGGCTTTCCATGCCTCCTAGACAACCTGCAAACTTCATCCCATTTATCTAAGTACAAGTCATTAATACGTATCACAAGAGGGACAAGGGCAGCAAATACATGTGAACACCACCCCCTTCAAGTTCCCCTCCGAGCCCCACACGCCATCCTGATTTGGAAATTTATCGGCACTTCCTTCCTTCCGTCGCTGGGTTAAAATCCTGGAAATTCCTCCCCAAAGTCACTGCGTGGGGTGCCCCTACACCACACGGGGACTACAGCGATTCAAGGCCTTCTCCAGGGGCAATTAGGGATGAGAAATAACTAATGACACCCACATGCCATGAATGAGTAAAAACTACGTTAGCTTCCTATTTCTTCTTGGCAAGGTTAGCGCGACACCCAATCATGTTAATTTAGAAAACAATCCAGTTCTGAAAAAAGGTCACACTGGACGCGAAACGTTAACTCTTTGTCTCTATGCATAGCTGCTGCTGAGCTCCTTCAGCATTTCCTAAGCATCAGTTTAGGCACCGAACAAATCCACTCTGCTTTTGATTCATCCATGACTTTACAAAATGAAGATAACGGCAGCCCTACAGAATTGATCCCAGGGCTTTTTCCCACAGCGGAAATGACTATCACGAGGGGGAATAATTTTAAGGTGATTGGAGGAAGGTATGGGGACATGTCAGTGGTAGGTTCTTTACACAGAGAGTGGTGGATGCGTGGAATGCGCTGCCGGCAGTGGTAGTGGAGTCAGATACATTAGGGACATTTAAGCGACTCTTGGACAGGCACATGGAGGATAGTAAAATGGAGGGTATGCAGGGTAGTTTGATCTTAGAGTAGGATAATAGGTCGGCACAACATCGTGGGCCGAAGGGCCTGTACTGTTCAATGTTCTATGATTGCTGTTCATGCGTTTCTGTAACTAACTTATGGTACAAGGAATTAAAACCAGTGGTACAGTGGTTCGCGCTGCTGCCTCAGCGCCAGGGTCCCGGGTTCAATTCCACCCTCGGTCTTTGTGGAGTTTGCATGTTCTCCCTGTGTCTGCTGGTTTCCTCCCACAGTCCAAAGATGTGCATTTTAGGTGAATTGGCCATCCTTAAACTTATCCCGTAGCGTCCAGGGATGTGCAGGTTAGCCATGATAAAAAAAAACCCATGCAGGGTTGAGGATGAGCACGGGGGTGGGTCTGGACGGGATGATCTTCAGGGGATTGGTGCAGACAAGATGCGCTGAATGGCCTCATCCTGCAATGCATGCGATTCTATGAAAATGTGACCTGCACAAAACTGGGTGTATCTGGTTTAGAAACAACCACAGCCTTGATGTAAATGCAATTTATTGTGTCACACTTGACATTTGAAGAGTCTGGCACCCGTTGATGTAAGGGGTTGACAATTAGAAAGTAATTGTCAGGCTTTACTGGCTAAAGAATTCGCGACACAATGCCTGCAGTTATTCCAGTAAAGAATTGTGGCTCCCCAAAAATATTAAGGCAAACTTTGCAATTAAAGGAAATTTAGTTAATGTGCATTTTTAATGCGTCATATTGCCATGAAAGTCGACTGAGCTCTGTGATGTCACTGGTTTTGAGTTGACCTTTGTGAATTCAGTTGTGGCATACTGAGCAGGGAAAGTTGGCCAATTCTGAAAAGAGGTTAACAATTTTAGATCTAACTTAGCTTACACAATGAGAGACAGAGCCACACCTACAGCAAGAGTTGAGTAAATGCCAGATCATTTAAAATCGTGTCCCCTGGTTCTAGACTTCCCTTCCAAGGGGAAATATCTTACCTTCATCTGTCCTGCCTGCCTCCAAGTACCTGGTCAACTTCCATGAGATCACCTCACAATTCTTCGAAATTCCGCAGAATAAAGCCCCAGTTTGCCCTTCATAGGACAGTCCCACTGGCCAGAAACAAGTCTGGTGAACCTTTGTCACTCTTGTTCTATGACAATAATATCATTCCTGAGATAAAAGAAACCACAGCTGCACAAAGTACTCCAGGTGTGGTCTAACCAAGCTCAAGTACAATTGATGCAAGGCTTCACTGCTCCTGTAATCAAAGCAGGACCTCACTACTTTCGGGAGATTTATTTAGTTGAAAGCTAAATGAAAAAACCTACAGCAATTCTCTCAATAAATTACTATTGAAATTGTTGCAGTTTAAGCTCTGGGGAAAATAAATCAGACTAATCACATGATTAACATTTAAACCAAAAGCTCAAGATTCTTTCCAACCCTTTCTTCGTCTCCCACATCACATGATCCTTTCATTTACGACTCCATTGTGTTCAGCCAGCTTTCCCCTTCAACGCATCACTGGCAGTTGCCTCCCCACTTCCCAAGGGAGCTAGTCCCCCATTCTCTCCACTCCCAGTGGGACCAAGTCCCCCATTCGCCCCTGCTCCCTGTGGGTGAGAATCCCCCAGTCTCCCTGATCCCCATGGGAGCAAGATCCCCATTAGCCCCACTCCCCTCGGGAGCAAGATCCCATCCTCCCCGACTCCCCATGGGACTGAGTCCGATATCTACCCTACTCCCCGTGGGACTGAGCCCCACATTCTTCCCCCCCTCTCCATGGGAGCAAGTCCTACGTTGTTCCTCACGCCCCGTGGGAACAAGACCCACATTCTCCCCACGGCAGCAAGACCCACATTGTCCCCATTCCCCGTGGGAGTGAGACCCAGTATTCCTGCTTCTTGAGGGAGCGAGTTCCACATTCTGTTCTAACACACGCCAAGTTCCTTTCACTGATCACCCCATGTTCTCTGGTTGATGTTGCTTCCCCATTCAGCAATACCCTCTATTTTACAATTCTTATACTTGTCTTCAAACCCCTCCATGATCCTCACCCCTTCCTATGTCTCTAACTCTCTCCAACCCCTACACCCCTCCTTATCTCTGTAACCTCCTTCAACCCCTACAACCTCTCCCTATCTCTGTCACCTCCTCCATCCCCCGACACCCCCCGCCCTATTACTGTCATTTCCTCCAGTCCCTACACCCCCTCCCTATCTCTGGCACCTCCTCCAGTCCCTACACCCTCTCCCTATCGCTGTCACCTCCTCTGACCCCTACACCCCCTCCCTCCCTGTCGCTGTCACCTCCTCCAGTCCCTACACCCCCTCCCTATCGCTGTCACCTCCTCCAGTCCCTACACCCCCTCCCTATCTCTGTCACCTCCTCCACACCACTCTCTCCCAATTCTCTCCCACTGACCTGTTTCCTCAGTTTTCTACAGGGCCCTGCGGCAGACAACGAGCTGACGGGAGGCTTTTAGGGAGGCAATGCTGAATTGAAAACTTTTTTTATTTTTTTGATAAACACCAAACCACGCATTGCTGAAATGTCCCCCCCACCCCAATAAAAAGATAGCTCAGGATCAAGTCGACACAGAGACAAAAGTGCACACACACAAACATCTGGCAAAGAACACCCCACGCCCTCTCCCCTCCCGCCCACCCACCCGCTATTCCATTGGCTCCTGTCAATGTCGCTGTTAATGTCGCTTCCGATCTGGACTCCGGCTCCTCCTGCGCCCACTCCTGTACGGAACACAGAGACAGAATGAGAGCGCGATACAGTGCGCGACTGGGAGGGTGGGGTGGGGAGTGCGACGTAGGGAGAGACACAGATGGATGGTGTGCGTGAAGAGGAGGGAGAAGGATTGAAATGGAGGAATTGAGAGAGTGGGAGGAAGAGAGGTTGATAGGGAGGGGATTCAGAGAGGGAAGGAGAGTGCGGGGGGCAAATGATCAACTTCCCACATTGTTCAGGACATACCCTTTCATCTGGGACCCACGAACTCCGGCCAACTGGGACATCATTCCCGCCTCCCCTCGGGACCAGTGCCTGCCCTCACCTGGGGACCACATCCCCTCTCCACATTCTCCCTATAACCTGCACCCAAACCCCACAACCAACTACCCACAATCCCTCCCCACAGACCCACATCTCCCTCTACATCACCCCACCCCTCCAAATGAGTCTGAGTTGTCCACTCTCCCTACCCTGGAGCTGACGTTCTCCAGCCTTCCCTCCCTCCAAATCCTCCCCAGCCCACGAACGCCTACAGCTGCCCCCCGAGCTGACCACCATTCCCTCACCCAGAGGTCATGGGCTCTCCAACAGAGCTCAAATCTCATCCCCTCCCTGTGGCGTGGAGTACTGAGACTGTCAGGCCCACAGGACTCCTGTCCTCTCCTGAGCCGCGAACCTCACTCCCCTTGCTCCTTAATCTGGTTTACTGACCGCCTCTTGCTCTTGGGTGGTCCTCGGACAAAGCCCCAGTCCACGCTGATGGGCTGGCCCGCCAACTCCGAGCCATTCAGTCCCTCCATCGCTGCCTGGGCCTCCTTGTAGGTCTCGTACTCCACCAAAGCATAGCCCTGCAGCACAAAAAACAGCTACAGAGTCGACATCCTGAACCGCGGAGCTCCTGAGAGCACCAGCTCCCCTCAGGTCACATGCACAGGATCCAGACACACTCAAACTGCGAGGTCGCATCCCTTACCCTTGGCCTGTGAGGGCCCCACCTCTCAAACCGCAGCTCCCACCCTCCCAGCAGGACCCCCCTCACCTTAAGGTAGCCGGTGCGGCGATCCAGATTGAGGTGCAGGTTCTTGATTTCGCCGTATTCTGCGAATTTGTCGTGAATATCTTCCTCTGTGGCCTCTTCGTGGACCCCCGTCACAAAGAGAATCCACCCTTCCACAGCTGTTGGTACAGGGAGCAGAACATCAGCCATCTCAGTCAGCACTGCCTCGGAAACACAGGCCAGCTTCCAAAACGCATGAGCAACCCAGCAGGGACAGAGCCCAACTCCCCCTCACATAAATACCTCCATCCCAGCATGCAGAGACCCCAAAACCTCTTCATAAACACCCCCATCCCCCACAATGCACAACCACCACCCCCACTACCCCCCC